GAAAATGAGTTGATTTGGAAAATATTTTCCTTAATTTTGGAAGGGAAGTCATTTTCCTTAATTTTGAGGAAAATGAGTTGATTTGGAAAATATTTTAAACCAACCAAACATGGAAAAATAAGAAAATATTTTCCAGAAAATGTTTTCCTCCATACCAAACACACCCTAATAGTTGACCAATGTCAACATTTGGGGTTAGTGAGTTCAAAAGCAAGGTGTGACAGATCCTATAGGGCCATATATATGGTGTTTTCAGACTTAGTTGGATAGCTTGGATGGGTCCGAAGGGGCTTTGAAGTCATTTGGACGTCTAAGTTGAATTAGTGATTTTTTTGATTATGAATTGACCAGAGTCAAATATAGAGAAAATGCCAAAAATATCCCCTTAACTATAAAAGTAGGTTTAAAATGATTCATTTAACTATACTTTTTTCGGATTTAGTCCTTTAACTATTCAAAAACTTATCAGCTTTGGTCCCTTAACTATACATATGTTCTTGTCCTTTAAGTATTCAAAGACTTATAAGCTTTGGCCCGTTAACTACACACTTACGATTTTAGTCCTTTAAATATTCAAAAATTTATTAGGTTTGATCTTTGTCCATTTTTTTATACAAATAGTTTAGATGTATATTAACGGAACTCTTTGAGAGATTAAATCTTTGACCCATTCTTTAAGTTGTTTCTCTATCCCGACTATTGTTTCTTCAAATTACTTTGAAAAGAACAATAAACTCAACTATTCAAAATAAAATTAATGAGGAAAGAAGATATAAATCCTAATTTTATTCGATGTATGATAAAATAAAGCATATAATTAATGTAATAACTTGAATATGTTGTGTTCCCTTCTTTGTCGATTAACGGTTCATAGTCAACACAATTTTTTAATTCTATTTTTCATACAAAAAAAGAGATTTGATCTGTAACACCTCGAATTTCGAAAGAGAAAGAAAACCATTTTTTTGAACTGCAGTCTGGTTCTACGGGTACCACCTACGAACCTTATAAGCTTCTACGGGCTGTAGATGGCAATCATATGAAGAGGGAAAATAATTTTCTAAAACCAAGTTTTATTATCCTTTTTACGGTTCACCAGAACAGTCTGTTTTCATATGTACGAGTTGCAGATAGATCTCGCAGGTGAGTCCAAGACTTAGTGAAATTTTGAGGGTAGAAAGTCCTACACACCCTAGGTCCAAACAATAGAGAATTCTGGCAGTTATTTATTAGGGACTTTTTGATCTTTTTCTAATTGTTTTAAGCCTATAATATGTCATTTTTGCCTCAATCCTAAGGCCTATATAAAGACTTTAAGTCCTAGATCTACCTACTTTAAACCCATTCTCCTAATTTCCAAATTGCCTCCAAGTTCCTTCTCAAAATTTTCTCTAAGGCTAAGGAAGAGAAAGTTAGGGTTTAAATAACCAAGATCTCAAATCCACCGTAGGAATTGGGCTTTGAACTCCAAGATATGTTAGTATTCACCTATGTAGTCCTTTCCTCCATAGGGTTCTCAAAATCTCCAGTTTTACAAGTTAGGATTCTCAATTCAAAGTTAGGGTTTTATTCAATATTAATGAGTTCTTTTCAATTATGATTCAATCGATTGTTTCTATCTATTTATGCATGAATTGAAGAAATTACATATTTTTAAGTTGATTTCATATGATCCCATACATGATCCATGATTTTTGAATATGAACACATGCTGAAGCTTATGGACTATGATTTTTTTGAAATTATGCATGTTTTATGAAAGTAATGATTATGAATTTAGTAAGCTTATAGATGAAGGTATTTATATGTTCCATGGAGCTTGGCCACATGACATGAATGACATCTAGATTTGCCATCAATAATTTTGGGCTATTTTTCAAAATTAGGCCTTGATTAGTATGATATTTGGATATGCCATTAATAATTATAGATTACACTTTTAAAACTATTTCCATTAATAGTATGACATTTCTTGCATGAGGTTAATGACTATGGGTCTTATAAAGATAATATGTAAAGATCATAGGCGGTGAAATGTTTTCTCACACATGGTCTAAGGAGATACTCTATGATGTTTATAGCTTGGATTGGTTACTTAATTGTACCTTTCCATGGATGATAATAAAGAATATGATGAAAGACTATTCCATAGGATGTTTTACTTAGCACCGAGTGGACTACTTACCCATGTCCCATAAACTATGTGATACTATAGGATGTTTTCTTTAGCTAGTGGTCCACCTACGCTAGAAGTTCATTGTCCTTACCTTGGCATAACAGCCACTCTCTTTTTGGTGTAGGAGCAATACACTGAACTCCTTGTTATAACTCATATGGTTTATGTTAGTTAATGGTAAACTTCCCATAATAATGAACTAAGTTACATTCAATGCATTTCACAAAGTGTTTCAAATATGCTAAGCTTGCATTGCATTGATCATGATTATGATCTATATTTTCTAACCCTTTTGTCTTATGATTTAACTTGGTCTTTGCATGTCATGTAAATTCCTTTTTAGCATGATTTCATAACTCTTAGGCATTGCTATCATACTTAGTACATTCCATGTACTAATGCACACTTGTGCCTTCATTGTTTCATTAATGTAGGGTCAGACGCTCCTACCTCTCACACTCCTAACTAGTTGATCTTTTGGTACACAAGGATTGGTGAGTCCTCATATTTTGAGGATCGAGACACCTTTATTGCTTTCTATATTTCAGTTTTCAGACATTGTATGTGATGTATGAGTTATATCCCAATCACTTCTTTAGATGTAATAGATGACTTAGTTTTTGGGTAGTACATTTCTATTCCTCATTAAAACATTGTATAACTTAGGATTAAATTTCCCTCATATTTTATGTCTTGAAATAAAAATGCTAGTGAACTATCAATAAAAATATAATCTTCGATGGATGTCTGATGAGTTAGAGATTTCGACTCATTTAGTGTAACGACTCGAACTATCGTTATTTAGGAAAGGAAAAATGTCGGGGAAAACTAAGTCCATCATCCTGCCAGAGTGGGACAGACGAGACCAGAACTTAAATAACGCAAAATCTTATTTTCTCCTTTTTTTCAAAACACCAAAAAGAGGCGAGGACCACCCCAGAAACCCTCAAAAGGCTGCTCTAGTCTTGGGAAGGAAGGAGAGAGATATTTCTAGTGTTAGGATGTGGATAGCTTGCAGATTTCTGGTCAAAATCCACCGCCTCATCTTCCGAAAGCCAGGACTTGGAGCTACGATCCTTCTGCGACTTCTTGGCTCCCACGTAGGCTAGGTTTATTATTGAGTAGTTTTAAATCCATGATTCACTGCGTAGTATACTGTTAATTGATGGCATAATTCATGCGTAGGCTTTCGTGCACCGAAAAGGGAAAGTCGTATATGTATTTCTAGTTGTTCCATTATAACTATACCATATGAGGAAGCCTAATCCTCTGAACTAGGGTAGGTGATGGTTTGATTTCATGTTTTGCGTGATGTATGTTGGTAATTGCTTCATTGTAATGCATGTATGCATGTGAATGAAGCCTTGTTGATCAAACCTAATGAAATGACTAAATTTGTACAATTGCATGCCATGAACCTAATACTTGATTGTATGATTATGAGTATCTTTATTATCGGTGTGATCGCGATGGTGATTGTGCTGACTGAATCGGGTGTCACGTACCGACATGTATACATGCATTAGATCGGGTGTCACGTTCTGACACACTAACATATATTGGATCGTATGTCATGTTCTAACACACTAACATATATTTGATTGGGTGTCACGTACCGATACATATACATGCAATGGATCGGGTGTGATGTTCCGACACACTAACATACATTGGATTGAGTGTTACGTTCTGACACACTAACAGTTTGGGGGTGGGTTCCATGAGAGGACCACTGAATTGTCATATCTACTTGTTGTGAGAATGTGGAATTGTACATTGTTCCTGAAATGATGACTGTATCGTATGTTCTGTATATGTATGTTTATTATGTGGTGTTTACTTGTTACATCTCATTAGTGAATGAACTGTGTATGGTCAAGCCCATGTTGGAAAGGGGTATGGTAAGTGGAGACCGAGAGTCCAGGTATTACTTTGTTTACTTTAGAGAAGTGGTTTGTGTCCTTAAAGT